AGGAATTCAATCCCAACCGGTCATTTTACCACTAAATCGACTCCTTAAAAATATGTTAAACAATTTTTTTTTTTTTTTTTTTTAAGGTAAATATGTTAAACAAATTGTTGTGAGAACTCTTCTGATCAAAGTAAAAACTTGTGAAACGTTTTTTTTAGGTAAATATGTTAAACAAAATGTTGTCAGAACTCTTCTGATCAAAGCAAACGGTACATGCAACATGTTATAGCAAACAATTAAAATTGTTGCGCATACGACAAGTGCATGATAGTTGCAACTTGCAACTAATTTACATGAACTGATGTCATCTGCACAAAGCTGTGTCAGTGCAATGAAAACTTAGATTTTTGGGATATCCCCACCATTTAATTTATAGACTTTAATTCATCTAAATTAGCAAATTCACGTAAATTATTTTTACAGATTTATTATTCTTTTCTTTGTAACAGCGACGTCTAGATATGGACCGTCTTGTATATTTTTCTCTTGATGTTTCCAATTGTTTCTAAATGTATTATTATGAGATCTTTACATATTTATATATATAAATAAATCAACATCCGAAGAGGACATGAGATATAATATCACTCACTTTTGAAATTTACTTTTGAAATTCAACATTTTTGTTGACCTTATTTATATAGACTTTTGAGCACTTAGAAAATTACGCATAAATACGTGCATAATACATACGAATATAATAACTTGACACACCAAACACATTGAATTCCGTCTACCGGTTAGGGAGGTGCATGTCCATCAATACAGACTTGTATATGTAGATTGCTTGTTCTTCTTTTTTTTGTTTTTTTTGGTTTTTTTTTGGAAAGGTAAGTTTGTTTTATAGAATAAAATAGATACAAGATTTTACAGGCCATTTGCAATACAAAAATACTGAGAGAAAATAATTTGAAGAACACGGCTCTCTAAGAGAGTTTTTGGGGATGATAACAGTCTAAAGCGCCAAAAGGAACCAGAATCACTCACTTCATGTGTTGTTGGCCCCACATTTCATTACTGTGGGTCCCACTCACCTTACTTTATATAATATTGGGTTGTTTTGTCGTCTTCTATTCTCTGTCATCTGTTCCGGCATTTACGCCAGATTCGGGTGCATGCACCTCTTTTATTTTTCATCCTTTTTAACCAACCCACTTTACGTTACTTCTCATTTTTCACCCTCACCTTACGACCTTTACCACGCCGTAAATAGCACCGGCATTTGCTACACTACCAAATTTGGTCTTCCATTCATACCCTCTTCCTCTCATTAATTCCACAATTTGCCATTTTAAACTTCCCCATTAATCACGCAAATACAAGGTGGCACCATGGTTAAAAAGAAAAAAATTTAGATTGTTTACTTAATAATTTAACATTAATTTAACATTCATAAAGTATGACTTAAATTCAAAATCTAACTAAGAAGATGGTCTCGATTCACTGAAAAAAAGCATTAAAGCCGTATATAATAAGAACGTGAAAGGCTTATATGTAATTTTTTCTGACTAGTACTTGAGTTTGAATATAATATAATGTAATTGAGAAAAAAAGAAAAAAAAAAAGAAAAAAAAAGAAAAGAAATGATTGTGTGAATTTCATGAAAGTTAGGTGGTTGAACAGGCTATATGTCCAGTCAAATTAGGTGACCCCAATTCCTTCTCTTAAATTAGGTATGCTGAACCTCAAAAGGATCCATGAGGGCCATCAAGCATCAGAGGCGGAAATTTGAGGAAGATAAAGTAATTTCCAATAAAGCCCATCATGTACCATTTTTAACATATAATATATATATATTAAATTCTTAATTTTCAAAGAGAAAAAGAAATTGAGTTACCCTAGCTTATGAATTACTCGTACTTTTCTTTTATGCCGATTAAGAAACCTATTTTTTGAGTTGAATACATTACTTTCTCCATACACACAGCGGCGGAGCCAGAATTTAATTTAGGGGGGTGTAATGTACTTGACTAAAAAAAAAATAGTTCAAATGACATGATTAATTTAGTTTTATTTTGAATTTATTGAGTTCATAAAATTACAACAATGAATGTAAATAAGAGGAAAAAAAAAAAAAAAAAAAAAAGGTTACATACGAGTGATATACAAGTTCGAAAAGAAAAATTTTAAGAAGTGCAAAAAAAAAAAAAAAAAAAAAAAAAACAGAGAACTTTGAAGAGAAAAAAATTAGGGTTTAATTGAATAGCAATGTAACTTTTTTTTTTTACAAAAAAAGAAAATTATAGGAATTTGAAGAGTAAATGAAGGGAAAAAAAAAAAAAGGAAATAAAATATAATTTTAGTAAATGAAAATTTTAGGAGAGCTTACTATAAAAATTTCTTCATGTATGATAAAAAAAAATAACAACAAAATGATACATAAATTGGGGATGGAGTGGGGGGGGGGGGGGGGGGGCACTCATAAGTTGTCGTGGAGTTATATATATGTGTGTGTGAGCATTGTTTTTGATAAGACGATTTGTTTTTATTTTTGTTTTTGTGTTTTTGATCGGACAATAATTAGGGTGTTAGTAATTAGTGGTTAGTGAAGATTAGGAGAAAGAGGATTGAACCTAAGATTAGAATTTGAAAAAATAAATTGTATATTGTGTACGTATGATTAAGTCAAACTTGACATAAGTTGTTTGCACGGCTAGCACTGAATATATGTTTTTTGAAGGGTAAACCGTAACTTTCCGGTCAAAAAAACAACAATTGTCACTTTTTGTTGGGAGCAGCAATAAGAACCACATTTTTCTACCACCTTCATACACCAGAATGATCTGGAAGATACACGATGAGGTAAACATATATGGATTTTCCACGTCAAAATCATATGCCTGCTCATGTAACAAATATACATAAATGAATTATTATATATAAATGGATAAATGGTGTTAATGAATTATATTTATTATTTAATAAAATTAACGTCTTATAATTTTGAAAAAATAAAAATATAAAAAAATATTGTTTATTGTTACAGAGATATTCACTTTTTGTCATTAAATATCACTTTTTGTAATGCACAAAAAATAATACCTAATGTACAAAAAATAGTATTCGTACAAAAAAATAATACTTAATACACAAAAAGTGATATTTGACAAACAAAAAGTGGTATATGATTGCACAAAAAGTAATACTTATGTTATGTGCTTAAAAGTAGTATTTTTATGGAGTAAACAATGTTATTTCATATCTATGTCAGTAATTTGGTCAGTTTTTTTTTTTTTTTTCAAAATTACAAAGCTTTGATTCTACCAAATAAAAAATATGAACTATTAACATCCTGAAGTAAAATGAATACTGTACGACTTTTATAATGTGTTACGGCACTGCCTTTATTTCAGAGTCCATGTCCCATGTTATGTGACACATCACGCATCCCACGGCCTTGTTGCTATCCATTCCTTCTGATAGTGACAATAAACATGCATTATACGACAGTGTGCAGTGTTGACAATCACATGATTCGCATCAATTAAGTAATTAAATTTTTTTTTTTTTAACAAAAATATTAGAGATTAATGATTAGAGGGGAGGAAGTAAGCTTTGAACATATACTTCTAAATATATGGAATAATTGAAACAACTCAATCATTCGACTAATACGTCACTAATTTTTAATTTCAGAACTTAAAACTGGATGCAATAAGCTACTTATTTTTAATTTTAGAACTTCAACCGCATACAAGAAAGTATTAGCTATTGAATATCCAAATCTAACATTGTTTAAGAAATTTAACATTAAATTAGTCAGTACCTTGTTAACCAAATTTCAGTACCATTTTCCATTTCTTTACAAGAAATCGTCATATGGTGGATATCTCATCAGATTGTTGTAATCTTCATTTACAGTATCTAAAAAAACTGTAGTTATTGAACCCACCTACAATGTCTACAATATCCTAGATGCATGTTCCTCTGTTTATCTTGAAAATTCTTTATTTTTTATTATTAATAAAATATTTATAAAGAGGTATACCACGTAACAACATACCCAAAATATATATAAATTTTTTTCAGCCCATGACTTATTCTAGGGGACAAGAGTCATTGCCACTGGGTTACCTTTTCTAGATGATACTTAGCAAATGTTTTACTCCGTGGCAGTTCATTTTTTTTTTTAATGTTCCGAATTAGTTGTTTTATTTAACAAGTGAAAGTAAAATAACTATTATCTTTTTATGGTAATTTTAAATTTTATAATTTTTTAAAAAAATTAAAAGAATAAATTGATAATTTTAAAAGAAATAATAATTAAGAATAATGCATTAATGGCATGATTCTTAAAAACTTTAATGGAAGAGATAGACTATTAATAAAAGATTGAGGAAGTATTTAACATAGAAAATTTGATTAAAAGCCTAATTAGTTTTCATCTCCCGACTAATGTGACAGTCAAAGGGAAATAGACTCTGTTTTATTGACTATTGATTTGTGTCTGTGTAAGATTCCAGTTGGACACGGTTTATTTGGGTTGCTAAAAAAAATCGATTTGGACATCATTTAATATAATTAAAAAATATGACTACTTCACAAATTCAATTAATAAAAGCTTTTCTCATTACTTTTAAATAATTTTCTATTAGAAAAAAGTCAACAAAATATTATTTAATAAACTAAAAGATAAAAATATTAGTGAATTAGAGGATAAAATTCATATAAGTTAATGCGGTGAAATTTTAGAATTGAAGGATCTAGTGATTATGCTCTATGTCATTAAACACTTTCATACGTACAGTTTCACCGCATATAAATATGCTCTAACCTCTAAAACATCCCACGTGTGAGTTAAATTGACGTTCCTGTCCTCGTAATAGTACTGATAATACTATAGAACCGAAATTTAAGCTTAATCTTGAGGGTATTCCAGGACTAAAAATCCTACAAACGTAATTAAAGAATTCAATGAAGGGTATTACAGTAACTAATTCCTGTACTACCTCGTTCCTGCCGATTTCAAACTGAGAACTATAAAGTGGACCTTCCTAGCTTATAAACCCTAAACTTTCTGTTCCTTCTCTTCCAAACATTTTCTGAAAAAAACTCCCAAGAAATATATTTCTCGATTTTCCTTCTCTCCAAACGGTCCTGCTTTTCTTAAATATTCCAACATTTTCTAGGAAAAATAAAAAAGAAGGATGTGTGGCGGTGCCATCATCTCCGGCTTCATTCCGGCGAACAAATCCCGCCGGTTGATCGCCGATTACCTCTGGCAGTCCGATTTCAAGAAGAACCCTAGCAATTACTACTCCAAGCCCCTGAGATCTGACATCGTTAACCTCGACGATGACTTCGAGGCCGATTTTCAGCATTTCAAGGAGTGCTCCGATGATGAGGACGAGGACGTCAAGCCCTATGCTTTCTCTGCTTCAAAGTCTGCCCTTTCTCATGGTAACAACAACCATTTCTCATCTAGTTTATCGATTGATTTTTATTTATTTATTTGTTTTTTCTTTTTCGATTTGAACTTGAAAGGTATGATTTTTTGGGGTTTGGAGTGTTTCTGATCGGTCTAAAAAATATTTATTTGTTTGTTTATTATTATATTTTTCTCAGTTTCTCCGTCTTTTGTGGAGGTTCAACTCAACTATATCTTTTTGTGTATTTTAGAATTAAAATTTAATTTTGATTGCTAAAAAACGCAGCTTTGTAAAATTTTGCGTGCTCTTCACTGAGCTACAATGGAAATGATATAGCCCTTTCCGATTGTTTTTCGACAAAATAGTTCCTTGGTAAATTTTTACCGGGAAAAGATATCTTGTTAAGACTCCCTTCTTTTATTTATTTTATTTTTTTGAAAAGGAAATAATGGTCAAAAAGCTTTCTGGGGAAAAAATTCCTTTGCGGATTTTATAATTTCTGGTTCATGGATCTAGCGAGGGAAATGAAAGGGAAAGAAGGAACTAGAGAGGAAATAGTGATTTTCGTCATGTTTTATATCTTAATTATAATTATATTTAAAATTTCAAGAAGAAAATTAGGAAAAAAGAAAATTAAAAAAATCTTCCTTAGCAGGAGACAAGATGGCTTCCTTTGCATGTTGCCATTTTCCTTCCTGATTTATTCCATGAATCAAAGAGGAAGACTTGTGGAAGTAAAAATTTGATCACAGGGTCACAGCTGAAACATTATTAGGGAATAATTTTATTTTTTCACGAGGGTATATTCAATTGTGGAAAAAGCCTTAATGTGGAGTTATATTTCTTGATGTTTTTTCACCTTGAAGCATGAAGAGTGTTTATCATTTTCCTTCAACGAATTAGATTAAGAAATCTTCACATCTCAGTTTTAATTTATTTTATCTGAATTCTTCATTTGACATGTGTTGTTTCTCTTGTTTCCTATTAACAAGTACATATTAAAACAAAATTTTATTGACTATAAAAAGCAGATTTATACTTATAGAATGAGATATGGCTGTAGGAAACTGAAGAAAAAAATATATATATATCAACAAGAGAATGAAATAAATTTTTTTTTTTTAATAAACAATTTTTATTTTTTATTTTTTTTATTTGGAAATAAATACACGAAACGAAAAATGGTTCCAAACAAGCTCTTGATGATTCACGTTTTCCCTAGATATGGTTTTTTCCCAATATAGACTTATGTAAGTTCACAGTGCATTTAGTTGTTTCAACTATTATTTGAAAATTCGTTTTATTTTTTCTTATTATTGAAGGATCTAAATCTACAAAATCTGTGGAATCTAATGGGGAAGCCGAAAAATCTTCTAAGAGAAAGAGGAAGAATCAATATAGAGGGATCCGACAGCGCCCGTGGGGTAAATGGGCTGCGGAGATCCGTGACCCGACGAAGGGAGTGAGGGTTTGGCTTGGAACTTTTAACACTGCAGAAGAAGCTGCTAGAGCTTATGATGCTGAGGCACGGAGGATTCGTGGCAAGAAAGCAAAGGTGAATTTCCCTGATGAAGCTCCACCAAGTGCCCCAAAGCGGACCATCAAGGCAAAAACTCAGAAAACGATTCCCAAGGAAAGCCTGCAATCTGATCAACTCACTCTGAACCTGAACTTCAATTTCACAAACAACACAGATTACTATGATACCTTGGGTTCAGTGGAAGTGAAACCGCCAACTAAGCAGTATGGATTTGCTGATACCTACACTGGTGCTGGCGAGGTTGGACTCGATTCATTTGGTCCATCAGATGGGTCCACCCTTTATTTTAGTTCCGATCAAGGAAGTAACTCTTTTGGTTGTTCTGACTTTGGGTGGGGAGAACATAATGCAAAGACACCTGAAATATCATCTGTTCTGTCAGCGACTGTAGAAGTTGATGAAGCTCAATTTATGGAAGATGGTAACCCTACGAAAAAACTGAAGTCTGATGCAGGGAACGTGGCACCTGTTGAAGAAAATGCTGTGAAGAATTTGTCTGAAGAGCTTTCTGCTTTCGAATCCCAGATGAATTTCTTTCAGATTCCATATCTTGAGGGAAAGTGGGATGGCTCGGTGGATACATTCCTCAGTGGTGATGCGACTCAGGATGGTGTGAACCCTATGGATCTGTGGACATTTGAAGACCTTCCTTCTATGTCAGGAGGAGTTTACTGAGCAACATCTGCCCCTTATGCTGGTTTTCTGTAAATAAGTCTACATGTATGCAAGTTTTCTCATTCTAGTATTATCATGCATGTAATTTGTCATTTGTTGGAGTTTAGTTGGGCAATAAATTGCTTTATGAGTTTCTTTTTTGTTGTTTCAGGTGTCTGTTGTTCGTGGAGATGGGAGGACAAACAGTAAAACCATGCCTAGGCCTTGGATGGGACGTTTTTTATATGCTGTTGGTATTTTGGAGGGAGAGTACATAGGTAATTAGGTTTACTTTGTATGAGACCTTGAATTTAGGTTTTTGAACATGAAATCTGTATGGATGATAATGACATGTGATGAAACTATTTGGTATTACTGACTATCGCTCCTTGTTTGTTTCTATCGTGATCCCCCCATTCACTCTCTCAAACGCCATCAAGTGTTGGTTCTAAATACCTAATATTTTTTTATTGGGAATTATCTTTTTTAAATATATATATTATAAATTTATTTTTACAGGCTTTAATTGTTCAGTTATACCTACTTACATGTTTCAGATTCATTAATTGATATGAATTGATTTACTATAGAAAATGGCATCTTTAGTTTATGATGGTAGTGAAGTTGTGATAGTTAATTTTCATGTATTTTGGAGTGGTCATTATTTCATTAGCTGCGACATGTGGCCTACCTCACAATATCCTTTTGATTTCCATGGAAAAAGATTGGATGGGTAGGGAAAGGGAAAGAGACGTGGAAAGAGTGTCATTTCCTTTGGGCTCATCATATTACTTGTTCTGGAAAGTGGACGAAATTTCTTCCTCAACGAATCTTTTTCTTTTTTGAAACATAAGCAACAAAACTAAGAAAAGTTTGTGGTAATGAAAAAATAAGTCCTCATTTCTTAAAGTTAATTCCATTTTAGGGGCTAGATTGGATGAACTTTACATATACCCATGTTTTAATGGGAATATATGATTGAAGCAAGTTTTGGAAGTTTCCCATGTGAAAGTGTCCAATTTTTAAAATTAGCAAATTGGGTGGCTGAAGTTGTAATTTTAGACATTATTCATGGGTGGACAGTGAAATTTGCAACAGTAGGAAGAAGTTGTAATTTTTAATAATGATGTGGCAAACAGCTGGTAATGAGTTGCTTTCCTCACCCTAAATATAGGAAAATGAATGGGATATTATAACTGAAAGAATAGTGGAGTGATTGACAATCTTTTGGATGCATTCAAGGGAGACTTACTTGCATCCAAGGGTACTAGTACATCAACTTGCTCTTTCTTTATTCCATCCATGTTTCACTTCTTTGTTTCCGCAGTATTTTTAGATATATATATATATATATATATATGGGATGTACAATTATGGGGTGTACGAATACGATAATTTATTAAACAATATCATCTTATTTGATAAAAATGAATCAGGTGACATTGAATGTAGTGAACTATTATTAATCCTTTGTGTGTGAATGACTCTCCTCCTTTCGGCTTTGTAGCAGTCAAGGGGTGGGGTCCAAATATTATTTTTTGAGATCACAATGCTCGGAAGATTAAGACCTCTTTGATGCGGACTACACCCAAAAAATCTAAAAACTGAGCCCATAAACTAGTACTATTGTGATAGTTGGTTAAGAGAGAGCTTTTGTCTTGCACAATCTTCTTTTTTTTTCTTTTTTTTCTTTTTTTTTTGTTGGGATTTACTCACACTGCCTTCATTGAAGTTACATTTTTTTGAGAAATAAGAGCCTTATATCGCTAGGCCACAGGCTTGTTAATCTGCACAATCTTTTTCTCTATTTTATTTAAAAAATTGTTGTATTACTGCTAGGTGAAGTACTTATGTTTCCTGTTTTTCTATTACACTATTGATCTAATATTATATAATTGTGATGGTTTAATCTCATCCAATAATTCTTAATCCTTTAAATTCGAATAGAGTTGGTGTGAAGTCGATTTATTATAGAACCGATCAAATATGCCAAAAAAGCAGTCAAAAGTAAGGTCTTCAAAGTTTTGTTTTTTTTTTTTTTTTGGATGATGATAACAAGGTTTGGATCATTTAATTTGGAGACCTGTCATAACCTATCGACTACATTTCTTACCTGGATACCACAATTGTAGGATAGGTTCCAATTTCCAAACCGGACACTTTTGATCAAATCAAATTTCTTGTCCGAGCAGTTGCTTGATATTATGATAAAAAGGTTGGCCAATCAAATTTAAATCACGGGTTCGGATTTCATAATAATTTCCGACTGTTAGACCTTTGGTGTGTCTGGTCTGTACTCCCAACACATTGCATTAGCGGGGTTACTTACCCATTTCTATTGCCATGGATGCAAAATTGAAGCACATATTAGAAAATTTTCCCCTAAAATCAAAATACTTCTTTTGCATAGTTATAAGGAGTGGCAATATTTTACACCACACGAGATAAAATGATTTGGGTTTGGGCTAATCATAATCGTGTGGACACGAATTGACTCGCTAACCAAACGTGTCGTATTCGTGTTTGACCATGTAAACACTATTAACCCGATTAACTAAACGTGTCTGATAAACGTGTCATATTTATGTAAAAAATGACCTATTTAACTAAATGTGTAGAATAAGTATGTCGTGTTCGTGCCAAAATTGACTCATTTCGTATTATGTCAAGTCTTGAGTCATTTATTAAACAGGTTACACGTATAATAATCGTATTCGTGTCTTAATCGTGTCGACACGAACATAACACACCAACATGAATTATCACCCCTAGTTAGTTAACGAAAATCATATAAGCCACATTTGATTTAATTAGGCCATAATTGACACTGTTGGAGCTTTTTATTTCCCGTACTGTCGGCTCCCTATGGGCACCATTAATATAGACCACCTAATATAACAAAAATGACGATTTTATGTAACATGAAATAATTCAATATGGTGATTTTGTGAAACATAAAAGATTATTTGCATGTGGAGTGACGTGGCACGTATTGGACTGTGACAACTGGCCAATTGTAAAACCTCCAGTACATGCAAATAACAGAATAGGAGACCCTTCATAGAAAAGTAACACTGTTAATTTGGTTCTAATATTTAACGAAGTTCACAGAATCAAAATAGAGTTGTCAATAGGAACAAGTCATACCTTTCCCCTCAAAGTCACTTATTGATACAAAGGGATTTTAAAGTCCTAGAAGTCACTCCAAGAAAGGAATTCAGAATCAGCCCTCACATTCCTCCTTTATTTGAAAGTAGTATCCTTCTTTTAGTAATCAAATAATCACATTAAGAGTTACTTCTTAAACATTAATTCCAATATGAAGAAGTTCTTCCATGGATGCTCATCAAGCACAATGTTCATATGTTTTCTGTTTTGTTGGACAATTTTGCCATCCATATTCCTTCAAGAAGTGCTTCTTCTTTCTTGTTCTCTTCCTTGTGTTCATTGTAACAGCCTTGGGGTTGGCCACATTGATCACCATCTTCATCTTGAAGCCTAAACAGCCCATTTTCTCTCTCCAAACAATCAAATTGGATTCCTATAAGCTCGGTTCTTATTCGGACTCAACCCTGTTTGTTTCATCTGTTGCTTCTTTGAACTTGAATGCCCAAAATCCAAACAGGGTTGGCATAAGATTCAGCCATTCGCGGCTTCACATTCTCTACCAAGGACTTCCCATAGGACTGATTCGAGTCCCAGGCTTCTACCAGCCTCCACATAGCATGAACATAAGCGTAAGAACGCGACTTCTGTTGCCTTGTCTCAATGTTAGCCAGCTCCTAGCTGGGGTGGTTTCATCTCAAGATGATTCAAACAACAATATTGTTCAGATGAAAATATATGGTGATATCAAAGCTTATGTGAGAATATTTCATATTACTTTGCCAAAAGTTAAGGTTTGTATTGTATAACTCATCATGCCAAAGTAATATATGTGTAGGACTACAAGTTTTGTCATGAAGGAAACGACTTCTGGTTTTTTCATTCATTTTTTCTTTGTGTAGGTTGCTTTGGATTGTGACATAAATATTGATTGTAGAGAGTTCACATTCAGAAATGGACTTTATAACATCATGACACTAGTTCAGAATCACACTGTATGTATTATTTCATTCTTTTTTCCCTACAATATTTCAAATGCAAACTCATATATTTATTAATTCTCAAATTACCACCTGATTTCAACTGTCCAGGCATCTTTTCCTTCGAACTCCCAAACATTCTTCAAGAAGTGCTCATTGGCTTTTTACTTGTAAAAAAGGTAAGTACGCATTACCTTTCAATGCCTTTCCCAGGGCTAACCACGGACTGATTTCAGGGACAATTAAATTACTGAGTAATTTGAGTAGCAACAATGTAGCATTCCTTTCCAATAGTGAGTGTCTATTTTCTATTAACGAGTGAGATAGTGACGTGCTATTGGAGGGGTTGGGGGGGCTACATGATTGGTTACCCCCAATTAATACTTGAAAATAATAATAATTATTGCTATGGTTTTGCAGGTAATGAGACAGAGAGAAATATGTTTTAGTCCAATTTTGGGAAATTCAAGTGCTCTTGAGCAACAACAGACAAAGGTTGGGTATTGTGGAAAGTTGTGTTGTGAGTGGGCAAATAGTAAATAGTGATCTGACTCTAATTGTTTCTGAATCAGATTCACAACCCTTTTATTGATGACCTCCTTGACTACAAATTGTTCAATTCCTGAAGAGGTTAATACCATTCCAAGGACAAGATCTACAGAGCTTCCAATTATTTCAGATCCTGTGCTGCCTATTTGCTACTACTCTTAATTAATATGCCCCCTTGTGGTGTGGGATACATATATATACATATATTTATTTTGATTTATATATGCAATGTAACAATTTTTTTGGCATTTGAATTCTGATTTTATAATGCAATGTTGATAAACAATATAAAATAGAAGTGAAAATCAATAATTTTTTGCTCCTCAAAATGGATTGGGATTCATTTAGAAATGGAAAGAAACAGAGCAATATTAATGCCTTGTCAAACGATAAAATGAAGTCAATACTTGACGTCTTATTTTAATTATAAAAGACCATGTGAAATTAATAGATCAACGACTTTGCATTATAATTGAAGAAGTCAACACTGCATTATAAAAGACAACATGTGAATATATAACAAAATTAGTTCTCCGTGTGCTTAGTACTTGGCTTGTACATATTTCTTTCACACGTTGTTGATGCTTGTAAGGAGACTTGGGAGAGGGAACTCATGGAAGACATGAGCCTCGTTTATTTTTATTTTTATTTTATTTTTTACAAGCATGGATGTAATATAAATATTAGATATTTGCAATCACTCTCAAATCATAATCAAGACTTGAACTCGAGACTTAAAGATAATAATTCTGAAAATTTATAATCCGAACAAACTTGATAGGTTGAAAAAAGATACTATATTTTACATGTTTAAATCACACTTTTGATGATTAAGTAAGATTAATAAACAATGATCTTAAAGATCATTGTTTATTATTTTTTAATATTATAATAAACTATTTCAAAAAATAGATGCATGTAGAACCGTTCTAAAATGATATTTCTTTCTTATCAAAAAAGTGTCTTACTTTCTTTTTTTGTCTGTTCCAAAATAATAGTGCATTTTCCTTTTTCAAATAATATATTTTACATCTTTCTATATATGTCATTTGAGTTTAAAATTTAATATTTTAATATTCAAAACTTCAAAGGTCAAGTTTGTAATTTTTTAAATAGACAATGCATTTTTCACATATCCCCTTCAAAATTATTACTTTTCATAAGTAACACACCAAAGAATATAAAATTAACTTGCTCAATAATTCGTTGTCCAAACGATAAAGTTGCTCCGGTTGTCCCAAAACTCCAACTGGCTTCACATGTTGTATTTTGTCACTGAATTAGTTAAATATTACAGCATGCACGAGGAATGATTCCAAAATTTGAAGCTGAGTACTCTTTTACCCCAAATTAGTCCAAACGATGATGAATCTTGTGCCAATTTTTTTTTTTATAATCAATTTCATCAAAGTTTGCTTTGACTTTTCCACATCTAGTTGCAAGCTTTGACCACTTCATTTCAAATTGTAAGAAACCGTGTGGACATCTCTTCAATAATTCCCTCTTTTTTTTTCTTTTTCTTTTTCTTTTTTTTTTTTGGTTTTTGGGAAAGTAATTCTCTTAAATTTAGATGGAAAAGCATTGGGCATGTGATAAAAAAATAAATAAATAAATAAATAAATTCAAATATTTGTGTCACTAGATTCATTGTTGGTAATTCAACACTTACACAATTTAAACTGTTTATATGTCAGTGTTATCATAATAGTCCCCACTTGCATAAAATAATTGATTGGTCCACATATCATTTTTTTTTACCACCATATTATATACTCATCTGTTTTATATTAGTAATATAGTTTTCCTTTTTGGAATCTCCCAGATTTATTATCTCATTTAAAAAGTCAAACAAAATAAATATTATCTTTTTATTATTATTTTTTAAAATTAAAAAATTTTCAACTCGACAGTACACATATTTAAATATAAAAGAATAAATTTATAATTTTAAAATGAAACAATTCATTAATTTCATATCAACGTAAAAACTTCTAAAATTAAATATGAACAACCAGTGTGGGATGAAGGGAATATATTAAAAGCTATTAATCATTATGATCTTCCTTAATCGAGATTATAGAGATATACCTAACACTTAGCGGGATTTATTTGTTTAATTTTTTTTTTACCGTTACGTATGGTATAAATCATAACATATTATAAACAGCTCATCCTGGTAAATGAGAAAGTGGTGAAGAAAAGAAGTCACTCATGGCAAGACTAAGCACCAATTCCTCTATCTTGATCCTCTACATGCTTTTCATCCCACCATCTTGCCTGAGCCAATCCCAGAAGCCCGGAAAGCTCACCGCTTTCTTCATATTCGGCGACTCTTTCTTCGACCCCGGCAACAACAACTACATCAACACCTCAACTCTTGACCAAGCAAACTTCTGGCCTTATGGAGAAACCTACTTCAAGTTCCCCACCGGACGGTTCTCCGATGGCCGCTTGATATCGGACTTCATCGGTAAGATTAGTATTGACATCCCTTATGCCATCATCACCATCCATTATGGTTAAAAATTAGCTATCTCTTCGTTTTACTAGAGTAGTTTGTGTATTTTCTTGGCAGCCAAACAAGCTGAGCTGCCATTGATTCCACCCTTCCTACAGCCGGGGGTTCGCCGGTATAATGCCGGAGTTAACTTTGCATCTGCTGGAGCTGGGGCATTGGTTGAGACTTTTCAAGGAGCGGTATGTAAATTATTTTTCACATTTTGCAAAAGAAAGTTGACTTTTGGTAACAGGGCATTTTTGTAACTAGTTAGGTAAAAAAAACAGATGAGTGCATGTCTTTCAAGAAAGTTACTTCTTTCCTAACAAAAAGTTTGATGTTAGTAGTTGTGAATCACATCTCACAAAGCAAAGATTAGTGGAGCAACCCTAACTTTGAAGCTATTTCAATGAAGAAAATTTTTCAGAAGGAAAATGATAACGCTAAATTCAGACCGTGTATCAGTACACTTTTTTCAAAAATATCCCGAATTACATCCAAATTAAACACAAAGGAACTAGTGGGAAATTTGATTTTCAATCTCCTAATATGCAAAATAAATAAATAAATAAATTTGGGAACTTTAAATTTCTATAGGAAGGTCTACAAATTATTGTAGTATTTAGGAAAAAAAGTGAGTTGAAAGTCTGTATAGCTTGAGAAATAAACTACTAACACAAAGTTTATGGGTATTAAAAGTATGGTTCGTCATATCTTTCGACTCTTTTTCAAATTTAATATGCAATTCGTCAATTTATACTAATTTTGTCTAACCCTGTTATACCCGCAATCGCAACTCATACTACTACCAATGATAAAAAGGTAGGACCTTTTGCAAAAACCCCGGGAATCACATTTCTATAAGTCAACTGAAGAAAAGGGGTTGTTTGTTAGGCAAAATCCAAATAGGAATGGTAATAATTTAAGTTAGGGCTCAACCCCCAATCTACTTTTTACTTTTTATTATAGGGTTGGATGCAAGTATATATTGGGCGTGGTCCCCTATATCATATCACCAAATATGGAGACTTGATTGGTCTAACATCAAGCCAGCTCCAAAAACTATATTCATGTCTTCTTCTTTCCGACACGTCCACACCATATATATTTGTTCTTGTTTCCTAGATACTATCCAAACTCATTTTGTTTCTTTTTTTCCTTTGTTTTTTAGTAGTTGAAAAAATAATGCAGCCTATAAGGAGGAAAAGAAAAGGTATGGATAGGATCAATTATGAAGGAAAACAAAAGAAAATGATAATGTTCTTCTTTAATTTCTTGTATTTTGACTATTATTATGTGTGAAACATAGTGGAGAAACAATTAATCACTATAGTGGACTTCCTTTTCATTTCTTTCTTTAATTTTTCATTCTTTTTTTCTTTTTTTTTTCTTTTCCCCTTTATTATGGTTTACCTATTCCAATGCCTTAGTTTGATCGATCAGTGCAGACTACTTAGTTGTATATTAATTAAATTTTCAGGTAATTAATCTGAAAACACAGCTGAGTTACTACAAGAAGGTTGAGGGTCAATTGAGACAAGAATTGGGGTATGTTGAGGCCAATAAAACCTTATCAAGAGCTATCTACTTGTTTAGCATTGGCACCAATGACTACATCAGTCTTTTCCTAACCAATTCCACCATGTTTCACTCCTATACTAAATCCCAATATGTAGAAATGGTCATTGGCAACTTGACTACTGCAATCAAAGTAAGTACTCTCTCTCTCTAAACACTTCCACCCTTCTCTCTCTCTCTCCAAACACTTCTCCAACTAGAACTCATCTTAAGAGTTTTAGGTGTTATACTGTTGTATGTGATCGGATAACCACATGTTATGGATAACCCCCAAACCCCAAATCTTTGAGATATTTGTATTTTAGTATATATGTGGTGAGGATCTCTCCCTTTTTTTACCATATAGACTTTAAGGTGAATGAAATAGGGGGATCTAAATCATTTCCAGTGAAACAGTAGGTCAGTAGGTTATGTTCTGTCCGTTGGAATGCTGTCCTTTCAAATTTTACTTCAATCATTTATTGAAACACACACAAAAAAAGTAGTAGTAATTTTTGAGGAGATATTCCAAACTCATTATTACATGAGTAAACTACAGTGATCTCTCTTAAGATTTGGACAAATTATACACAATACACTATTTAACATTTGTTAGTTTAATCTCTCCTAATATTTGATGCGTGTGCTCAATGATACTTCCTTTTCACTCCCAAAGTCTCTTTCCGGCTCTGACATGAAATTAGAAAAGGTCAAAAAGTAATCAATGTTAAATAGCTTACTGGTGTAATTTGCTTAAACCTTATAGAAAGTCAATGTAATTTACCCTTATTACATTGTTTAAGACATTTTACCATTGTCTATCACCTTCAATGATTTTGAAGTACTAATAACTTGGCAGGAGGTATATGATCGAGGTGGCAGAAAATTTGGGTTTCTGAATTTGGGGCCCTTGGGTTGTTTTCCAGGACTTCGAATAATTAAACCACAAAGTAATGGAGGCTGCCTAGAAGCTGCTTCAACCCTGGCAAAGTTGCATAATAAAGCACTCTCCTATTTCTTATCAGACTTGAAGAATCAGTTGCAGGGTTTCAAACATTCACTTTACGACTTCAACAGTAATCTGAGGCAAAGAATAAACCATCCCTCCAAATATGGTACACACACATATATATATATATTTATCTTCAACAATTCTCAATTTAGCTTTATATCAATTAGATGCATTCAAGCTCAAACAAAATTTGGATTGAAAAAAAAAAATGAGAATAGCTTTAAATGTTATTGGCCGAACCCTCACATTCTCGTTCCCTCATGTGAAGTGTTCAGTCCCTTAGCAGGCATTTGTAGGTGTGTTGAAGTATTTAGAAAGAAAATATATATATATCTCACTAGTGGGCTAAGATTTGATCCATGAGTATATAATTAAATTGATTAAATTTTGACAAGACCTTGTTGGGACTCTCACATACTATGAAAAATGTATACTTTTTAGGGATTGCGTGTACACTGGACCTCCAAAACCTGCCTTTAAGTACATAGTACACCACCTTGATCTGATCAACACCCTCCCCTCCATTATGTGATAAGGCATGGGCATGATCCTCCCAACCAATTATGGGATGGACCAAAACCAGACTATCCACAATGTTCACTGGTTAGGTGGCCAAAGATCATTTGATGATGTCAACAAACTCTAGACTGTAATGATGTTTATTTGTCTTTAACTCTCTCTACTTTCAATTGCTAAAGTTTCAAATGCTGAATGATGGGAAGTGTTGTGCATTGTAAAGGTTTCAAGGAAGGCAAAACAGCATGCTGTGGAACAGGGCCCTTCAGGGGTACATTCAGCTGTGGAGGAAAAAGGTTAGTGAAGGAATTTCAACTGTGTGAGAATCCAAATGATTATGTGTTTTGGGACTCTTACCATCTCACTGAAAGGGTTTACAAGATGATGGCAGATCAAATGTGGAGTGGAGCCAATAGAGGTTCTTACAATCTGAAGGATCTATTCCAATGCCTCTAAATTTGCCTCAAAATAAATTCAACTGTAAACACAATGTGTTCAAGAATAACCTATAACATTTATTGATTGCCCAAGCAAGCTATTATTTTAATTCTTTTTTTATCCACTTATGCACAGATGAGTACCATGTTTCATTTCAAAATAAAGGAATTGGAGGGGCCTTGCTCATGCAAAAATTGAGGATGGGACTTGGCACAATGGTAAAGTTATTTTATTGTGACTTGGGAGGTCATGGATTTAAAATAAGAAATAAACTCTTCATGTGAAGGTAAGACTATGTACATATAATCCTCCCCAACATCTCAGACCCTCGTGCACTAGACTATCCCTTATTTTACTCAACAAAAAGTTACAAGGATTAATTTAAAAACCATCAAAACATTTATGAAACATAATAAAAAAATGAGGCCTTTCTCCCAGAAGGATGAAATATTGAGCCACACACTTATTTATACTCAGGTTTTTTTTTTTTTTTTTTTTTAATAGGTCCACAAACACAATAAATTGGGGGCCAAATTATTGAGTGAACATATATATTAGTACTAGATTACCCTTGTGTATGTTGAAATAGAGCCTTCACATTGTAAGGCATTGCCACATCAGTATTTCCACTCCACATAAGCTTGGCAACATGCTGATTTGCTGCTTCAGTGGGATGATCAGAGTCAAAGAACACATATTCACTAGGATTCTCACACAACTCATACTCTTCTACTCCTCTCTTCCCTCCACAGCTATTTATTCCCCTGTATAGACCACTGCCACAGCATGCACTATTCCCTACCTTGAAACCTTCACATCACAATCACAAAATATGCTCATAAATACTTCATAGAGAAAATTTTGGGGAAAAGCTTTTTATCTACCATATATATGTTAATTAAGAAGATAGAAATGATACCATATTTTGTTGGGTTGTCTATGATTTCACCAAAACCAATAGATCCCATGAAATTTGAATACATAAATCCTTTCAACTTCTTCTCTAGCTTGTGGAGAGTTTTGGAAAGTGCCTTGTTGTGTTGCTTTACTAACTCTGCGATTACTTCTTTGCAGTCAACAACATTGGTTGGACAAGTGAGTATCCTAATACCTGGTACATTTTCGTAACTCCCCAAGCTATAAATTCCAAATTTCCTCCCTCCTTTCTTATATATTTCCTATAAAAAACAATATTCACAAGTATAAATCATTACACCCAAAGGTATGTGTGTATATATATATATATAGAAGTGAAGGATTGTGAAAATTGTGTATAAATTTATGTAGTTACTTTGAACACTTGTGTCAAGTTGCCAACCACCAGATCCACATATTCTTCTTCAGAATATGAAGAGTTCAGAAAAGGGTAATTGATATAGTCATTGGCACCAAATGCAAACATGTATACAGCATTTAACAACATCTGCTCAGCTTCTGTGTCACCTAGTTTCATCCTCCACAGCTTCTCTACTTTCTTAAAATTGCTTAGCTGTGTGTTAAGGTCAATCACCTACACAACACAACAACACAACTATGCAATCAAAAAATATTTTAAATCATAATAAATCATTAACTTGATGATACTATATATATCTATTTATCAGTACAAGATTAAAAATATGAAAAGTAAAACAGAGAAGTTATGCTAAAAGAGCAACTTTTTGGATGAACATATATTCGAGTTATATTAAAGGATCAAATTCTAATCAGGGCTGCCAAACTATAGAGTAAAGGACAAAGATATTTCAGCACAGGAAATTAACTCATTTGAAAGAATTAAAATATCTCCACCGTGTGAAGATTTTATATGGGACCCACATGGGTCCTACTTGAAATATCAAGAGGCAGATAAATTTTAGATATTTTAAAGAGTAGGCAGATAACTCGCACTCGTGCTTATTAGCCACAAAATTCTTATTTTTAAGGATTTGGGAGAAACAATTAATTAAGAGAGAATCCTTCGCAATTAAAGAAACGAATCAAGCTTTTTTCTTTCTCTTCTCTCCACGTTCTCTCTTTCTCTCTCTTGATTAACACCCTCAACAAATCTGTCTCTTTCTCTCTCTTGATTAATCCTCTAAGAATCTGTCTCTTTCTCTCTCATAGTTGACCCTTTGTTTTTTGATCAAATAGTCTCTCCACTTGCGTTCCATCCTTCCTCATTGCTAACAGACTAGGTTCTTGTAAGTTAGACTTCATCTATCATGTTTGTGACACTGTTTCATTCTATTTGAAATTTTTTTTTTTTGAGCTTTGGAATAACCTCATCACAAAAATTTTACGTGTTGTTTAATTATATTTTGAATTATTATTATTATTTTTTTTTTTTCATGTTTTTGAGCTTTAGAATAGCCTCATCTAAAAAAATTTATGTGTTCAAACTAAGAGAGAAATAAGCAAATTGGTTGAGGGTTAACCGAGAGATGAAAGAGAGGACGTGGAGAGGAGAGAGAAAAAAAGCTTGACTTGTTTCCTTAATTAATTCTCTCTCCCAATTCCTAAAAGTAAGAATTTTGTGGTTTATAAGCACGGACTCTTTAAACTTTTTGCAAAAGCACTCTCACAATAGTATTACTCTATTTTGAAACACCTACTTTTCTCAATTTACCTATAATTTTCCTAGAATAAAACCCCATGTAATTGTGGAAAATATGTGCCATTTTCTTGGTACTATGGTCAAAGATGAGGGCGTCGACCATAAGAAAGTGGGTTTAAACCTTAAGAGCAGCAATCTTTTGCCATTAATAAGAAATATATATGTATATATATATATATATCTAGTCCTCCTCTGCTAACACCTTCAATTAAATTGAGACCATATTGAATAATGACCTAATAGATATGACTTATGAGGCGTCATTTTTATTTTATTACAGAATAGAAGTTTATATAATTAGTGAACAGAGTAAAGATAATTTAGAGCACCTTCATTGATCTTTAGAGGTCCGTAATTGGTAAAAATAAAAAAAGAAATAAAAAAAGGGGTATAATGAATAACATTACATACATATCCTGGATAAATTTCAGCCAAAGCACCAGCTCCCGAAGATGCAAAGTTTGCCCCATAAACAAAATAATGATTGTTTGGTTGTAGATACGGAGGAATCAGTGGCAGCTTGGCATACTCAGCTGCAACAATTAAAACTCCAACTCTAAGCTAACTATCATTAATATAATTAATTTCTAATAAAAATTTTGGTAGTTGTATTAAATGATCTTACCAATAAAGTCTGGGATAAGACGGCCATCAGAAAATCTCCCAGTGGGATATTTGAAGAAGGATTCACCATACGGCCTAAAATTCGCCTGGAAACCAGTGGTAGTGTTGATGTAGTTACTGTTTCCGGCATCATAGAGTGAATCACCAAAGATGAAGAGGGCGGCGTGTTTATAATTATCATCTGTGCAGCCTACTTGAAGGAGAAGGCTTGCAAATGGCAGTAGGAGGCAGCAAAAAAAGCTCAATGTTGCCATGTGAAGCTAGCTACTTCAATTTTGTGCTACTTTCTCTCTTGGTTAATTACTAGTACTTATAGTAGAATCGAAGCACAAATATGTCCATTAAAAACTGTTCACAATGGATTCACATTACAAACACATGTAAACACTGTGATGACTTTTAATCAATTAGCTGTACTTTTCTTTGTTGAAAGGTAGCTACAGTTTTCGTCCACGCATTGAATACCATATGATAAGATTAAACTGACAGAGCCAATGACTCAACAACATAGAATTTTCAAAGCTAACAAATATTGACCCCAAAAGGATAGAAATATTGATCCACAAACTTGTTTGAATTTTTTTTTTTTCTCTGAGAAACATAATTAGATGAACAAATTATTAGATTAAGTTTGTTTATGTTCAAACAGAGTCTTCAAATTGTACGGCCATGCCATATCAGTAGTTCCACTCCACATTAGCTTTGCGATTTTCTGATTTACTGTTTCAGTGGGATGACCAGAATCAAAGAACACATATTCACGAACATTCGCACATAGCTCATACTCTTTCACTCCTCTCTTCCCTCCGCAGCTACCTATTCCCCTGTATGGACCACTGCCACAGCATGCACTTTTACTTTCCTTGAAACCTTCAAATCACAATCACAAAATGTATACTATGGTCATAAATACTTTATAAAGGAAAAGTGGGCATAAGCTTTTATATACATATATATTCATATGTTGAGAAGATAGAAATGATACCGTATTTTGATGGGTGGTTTATTATTTCACTAATAGGAGTGTAGAACTCGAAATTCGAATACATAAATCCTTTCAATTGCCGCTCTAGTTTATGGAGAGTTTTGGAGAGTGCCTGGTTGTGTAGCTTAGCTAAGGCTGTGATTTCTTCCATGCAGTCACCATCATTTCTTGGATAATTGAGGGCTCTGATCACTGGTAAACAACCCAATGGCCCCAATCTAAGAAGTCCAAATTTTCTCCCTCCTTTCTTTTATATTTCCTGCAAAAAATAGAATATTCAACATTATGCATATTTTGAATTAATGGTTTAATGTCCACATCACTACTCTATTGTTATATAATATACATGTGTAGCGACAGAGCAAAAGGGATCATGAAAATTGGATACAAATTTGTAGTTACTTTGATCACGTGCGTCAAGTTGCCAATCACCATATCCAAAAATTGTCCTTTAGAATATGAACGATAGAAACTGGAGTTTGTCAGGAAAGGGCTCACGTAGTCATTGTTGCCAATGCTAAACAAGTATACAGCATTTAACAACAGTTGATCAGCTTCTGTGTCACCTAGTTTCATCCTCAACAGCTTCTCTGCATTCTTAAAATTGCTTAGCTGTGTTTTAAGGTCAATCATCTACAGATTAAAAGACAACTATGCAATCAAAGAAACAAATATTTGAAATCATAATAAATCAATAACATAATGATAATATATCTCTGTGTCAATACAGGAAAACATACTATGAACAACTGTTGATGAACATATATTCAAGTTATATTCAATGATCAAATGCTAATTATGACTGTCAAACTACAAAATAAAACATATTGTGATAACCAAATGTGTTCGCTTTATTCAACTTTTTGGTTGCTTGGAATCTCATGATTGGCTGGAACCACGTGGTCCCGGACTACCTAATAATTTCTTGTGTTAGCAAGTCCAAATCCTAAAGGTAACCGCCTTTTGCGATAAATAACAGATATTAGGTCTATATCCGTTCTTCCTCTCCTAACACCCTCCTGGGATCACATTGGGTAATGACCCTTTGGCCACAAAGTCTAATAGGTATGAGGCATCATTTTTAATTTTTTTTTTAAATTAGACCACCTTCATTGAGAATTAATTGGAGGTATATACGTTGGTATAGGAAAGGGAATTAGTAAAAAAATTAGCTATGAGTAAGATCATTTAGACCAGCCTTCATTGAGCTTTAAAGGTCTGTTGGTATAGTAAAGGGACTTGATGAAAAACAATACATACCATTCCTGGATAAGTTTCAACCAAAGCACCAGCTCCAGCAGACGCAAAGTTAGTCCCATAAACATATTGATGATTGCTAGGTTGTAGATATGGTGGAATCAGTGGCAGCTTCGCGTACTCAGCTGCAACAATTGAACCTCCAACTCTAAGCTAATTACATTAAAGAAAATTATTGAGTTTGTATTAATTAATATATGATCTTACCAATAAAGTCTGGGATGAGTCTGCCATCAGAAAATCTCCCCGTGGGATGCTTGAAGAAAGTTTCACCATATGGCCTAAAATTGGCTCGGGAGGTAGTGTTGATGTAGTTGTTGTTTCCGGCATCAAAGAGTGAATCGCCAAAGATGAATAGGGTGGCGTGTCTATAATTATCATCAGTGTGACCAAGATGATTGGTGCAGCCTACTCCAAGGAGAAGGCTTGCAAGGGAAAGTAGGAGACAGAAAAGAAAGTTCAGTCTTGCCATGTGAAGCTACTTCAATTTTATGTAACTCTCTCCTTGGTTTCTCTTGTTAACTAGCAATGGATTCATACACAAAACACACACAAAATTGACTGTTTGCTAAACTTTTTTGTCTCCACGATTGAATACTAGGCGATTGGAAGAGCTTATATATAACAATGATTTGAGGATTGACTAACAAAAATATGGTCATGTACACGTAGGTAGTGATCTCACTAAAAGAAGAGGTAAAATTGCTCTGGAAAAAAAAAAAAAATTTATGTGAGTATGCTGTATAGGCTTTATTTGAAAGTCGCATAATCTTAATTAGACTATTTAAAATATTCAATTCAGAAAATGTTTGCTGTAAAAATAGGACTTCTTTTAAACTTCAATGCTTCTAGATAAGAACTGAGGACCTTAATTTTTTTTAGTAAAATTGCAGTCGAGCTTGGGCAACAAGATATCATGGTACTAGGAACATTGAATGTGATGATTAATTAACTAACTTTTTTATTTAAAGACCCGGGTTGATTATTTATAGATGTTGTTTTGAATTCTTCTCACTTGACAGTTGACATTTCAATCCTTGTTTCTCAATGTTAAAGAATATAAAATATATTGAGCTTTTGATCGACATAAATTCAGATTTGTCACTGTTAATTAATTAATTGATGTAATGGTAGCTAAAATATCGGGCTGACATAGGATATAAGAATAAACTATGGTTGTTTACACAATAAGAAACTTTCCAAAATTCTCCATCAGCTAGAGAAGCAGTTGAAAGGATTCAAGTACTCAAATTTCAAGTCATTTTCTTCCTTTAGTGAAAGAATGGACAATCCATCAAAATTTGGCATGCCAATACTATCTTCTTCAAACACATAGAACTGGAGTCATACAACTATATTAGGAATTTTTTGGATAACTGTCTCGTGCATGTGGGACAGGGAGACTGTATGTATCTGGTGGTTGTTGGTTATAGGGTGTTTTAAGAGGTCTGACACTAGTCATATAATTATATGAGAGAAACACTCAACCTTGAAATAAATTGGGTACTTGAACTCTCAACTCCTATATGACTATTTATCAATATATATAGTTTTATATATGTATGTAGTTTTTCCTCATAATATAGATTGTGTGAATATGGCTCCGTTTAGACATACACAAGGATGGATCTTAGCATGTATATCACGTCCAATATTATATATGTGTTCATTATTCACTTTAAATTGGCCCAATACTTCACCCTTTGGGGCTTAATAATTTATTGTTAAGCATAAACGATTTTGTAACATTTTTTGTTCAGTATTTGATTGAACCAAATGGATTTGCCAAGTTGATTGAGTGATACATGTATAATTATATATCCATTTAAAAGGACTGGATAAGAAGCAGATCATATACCATTATGGAATGTAATATATCTATTAATCAAGATATCAAGGCAACTTTAACATACAATCACCAAAAATATGAAAATACAATTACTAGTAGGATCTCTTTGGTGTCAAAGGAGCTACAATATTGTGGTAGTTAAAATTTTAAAATAATTAATAAATAATTTTTTTTGATTCCAGAGGTTGTGAACTTGTGACTTAAAGTCTAGTTTAAAATTTGCATCCTGAAAAACGATATATATAGTAAAATTTATGGCCACACCAACATTTTAACACACTCTCTCTCTCTTTTCTATAAAAGCAAAAGGTGGAACATTTGAGTTTCCAAATTGTGGTAATAATTCAACCTTTAGATGACTTGTTATGGGACCCAAATTACCGCTGTATTTATTGATGCAGGACAATAGAGTATGTAATAATGCAAAATATGGAGCAAGTACTAAGTACTAGTAGTAAGTACAGTTTTATCACAATACGAACGTGGGCTGCTCAAATTTGAGCCCCACACACACGGTGATGTCATGTTGATAGAGGAGTAGATCATGAGATAGCATGGGAGACAATAGCATCTGATATACTGATACATTCATAGTTCTCTCCCCCAAAAAAAATAATAATAAAATAAATGTTAGAAAGACATTTTGCTAGCTTATTCAGGCCCATTCATTCACTAAAAAAAAATACTCATTAATACATACTCCGTATATATAAAACAAACATTTGTGTTTCTCAAGAATTATTAAGCTCAAAAGGATAAGATATTGAGCGAAATTATTTATGGAACACATTATACTATGGACAGCATTATGAGATTAAATCTTTTTATATGTCCAAACAGTGCCCTTCAAACTAGGAGTACATGTGATACTCTTCGGATCCAAGACACGGGTTGATCCACCAATGAAATTTCAGGACTATCCTTTATAAAATTAGGGGTATTACATTAATTATTTAATTGCAATTTTTAATGATTAATTGTTTAATTGCTTAATTTGTTTGAATTACTTGTTGTTATTTGAAGGATGTGTCAGTTTACTTGATTATTTGTGTAATTATTTTTATTTGCATTTCATTGTTTAAGTTAATTAATTAATTAATTATTCTGTTTTAATTAGTTGTCTCAATTGTTTTAATTTAATTATTTTAATTGAATTAATTTTGTTGGATTTAATGCTTTAATTGTTTTAAATTAATTGTGTTAAATGACTGGATTTAGTTACATGAATTTAGTTTTTAACGTGACTGTTATATAGCTTTTCATAGACAGCTGTCATTGTTTATCACCTAGGTTTACCTATGGG